TTTTTGTACATGTACACACATAGTTACATATACTTGTCACGTATACAATGTATTTGTTGTATTATAAGGTATTATCGTTTTAAAATATATAAGTTATATAATATATGAAGCCATTACATCGCAATGCAAGCAATTTAAAGATAGCTAGTCCTAAATCCTGTATATGAATAATAAAAGATTTATAGGATAAAATAGTTACGTATTGGTTATTTTTAAATCTAAGTTGAATCAGGGTCTTTTCTGTTTGAAAGACCCTAGCTGGTTGAATGCATCTTTTTACTCTGAATACAGACGCATAACTATTACTTATGTCATTATGCGTTACGCTTAATTCAGCAACTGAATTTCTTTACTACTGCAATCATACTTCCGCCTTGCTTGTATTAACTTTTGTGTAAATGAAATTCGTCTTTTTAAGGATTTAACAAAAGGTATATTATTTACATATTTCTCAACATTTAACATTTAACCCATTATTATAGTTTTTAAATTGTTTAAAATAAAACATGAAATAAATCTGACGTTCAAGAAGGATTTAATTTTCAGCAATCTCGATTAAGATTTTGTTCACAATGTAAATGTCAGTCTTTACATTCTTAAAAATAATATACGTGCGGTTATTATTCAGTGTAAACTTAAACAATAATTGTAGACAGTCAGTTATATGTGACACAAAGAAATATTAACAAGTTTTACATGTATAAAGATCAATTAAAACTAAAGTTACTGTAATAGCGGAAAGTAGTTTCAAAATTTAAACATATTTTTGTAATATATCAGTTAATTTTATCGCTAACAATGGTGTAGTTCAAACTTTCAGATTTGACAGTAGAGGAATGGGACCACTTTTAGCAACAACAGCGCTGCTTCTTCTATTTCACACGGAATTTGTTCTTACAGGTAAACAAGTCTTTGTTTCTGCTAAACTTTCAATTGCCACACTTGTACCTTTGGTAATTGATAGATGCTAAAGTGCAAAGAGGAATGCAAAATGAATTTTAGTCCATCCGAGCACGCTTGAATGACCTCAAAAGCGAGCCATTAGAACTTCTATGAGTCCGCAATCCGTCGCCCCCACCTTGATTTTGCTAATTCCATATTTTTATGTATGAATCTTTTTGAAAATATGTAACTAATCGTGTCTTTCTTAAAGCTCATCGTTCGTTCTTGCCTTAAAACTATGTCTTCTTTTCTAACCCAATGAAAATATTTTTCAAATAACATTCTGTGAAGTTCTGTTTAATCAATCGATAATGTCAATCATAAATGTTTAACAGCAAATATCTTTGATAATTATATCAATAAACACAGACAAATTTTATAAAATTTAGTTGTATCAAGATATTTTATAATTATTTGAAAAAGGCGATTAAATGAAAGCTCAAAATATTTCTAATAGAGCAATATTAAAAACAATTGAGAAATATTGCCACATTAATGCGGTGCATGATAAATAGTGGCACTTACATTTGTTACATATACATTGTATTTATTATTTCACAGAACAATTCAATAATTTACATTAATAAACGAAGGAATACCGGATATTTCTACCAAATGATTTGGAAGCGCATATGTATTTTAAACAGTACGTTGAATATTAATGTTTGACATTTATGACTGTTTAGATTTTAAAATGTTCAAATCTTACATTGTCGAGTCTCAACAAAATATTGTGAAAATTATTTCTAAAAAAATGAAATAAGAAAAATGCAAAGAAATAAAAATATTTACCTGTTTGCTTCACCATTATCTAGAGTGTTCTCCTGGGTGCATTTCTTGTCTTGACTCAAGATGCACAAATTGTGAACCATCGTACTATTTAGCCGATAACAATTGCCATCCTTGCCCAGACAATTGCCTTAGCTGTACAGACCAGACTAACTGCACGAAATGTAAATCTAACAAGTGGGGTACAGGTTTGTCACAGTGCTTCCAAGACTGTAGTAAAGAGTGTCTAAATGGTGAATGTCATGATGACACTGGATACTGTTTAAATTGTGAACATGGAAAATATGGACTTACATGCCAACAAAATTGTAGTATCTGTCAGAACGATAATTGTGATTTATATAGATGTGTTGAAGGATGTAAATCAGGATACTTTGAATATCAGACTTTTAATGATATCTTTTGTCGGAAATGTCCAAAGGATTGTAAAGAATGTGAAAACGGTAATGTTTGTCAAATATGCAACGACGGCTTTTATTTGAATCAACTTTATTACAATGGCAACACATATGTTAACTGTGCTAAATGTTTTAATGAAAATGAATGTTCAAATGTTTGTTTCATTCAAGGATGTAAATTATGTCAATTGGTTGATAACAAGCCAAGATGCTCAGATTGCTCTGAGGGAGAAATATTTAACGGCAATTCATGTGAACAAATTGCGCACAAGTGCTCACAGGGATGTTCTACTAACTGTGACAGTTATGGTATATGTTTAGGAAACTGTAATGATGGTTGGGCTGGTGAAAGATGTACCGAAAGATGTAATGAAAAATGCTTGATATGCTCAAACAATGACAGGACTATTTGTGTACAGTGTAATGGCAACTTTTACTCAAACAATTGCAGTTTACTTTGTAGTAAATCATGTAAAATAGAAGAAGGTAAACAAACATGCACATTAGAAGACGGTTATTGCTTAAATGGATGTGAACAAAACTACTGGGGCGACACCTGTATTAACTCCTGTTCTGAGAATTGCCAAGATCATGACTGTGATAGAAGCACAGGTACATGTACGAGAGGATGTAAGGAAGGATATTCCTGTGATAAGTGTGGTCCAATTACTACAATAAATAAAAAAGGTTAATCTTTTGATTGTTATATAAATTTATGTTGTTTTTTTACAATGTTGATTACTAAACTAAATAACACGAGTTTGCAATCAACCATGTATAATGATTTAAGGTAAAAATACTTGAGAACTTGATGACAGTTACTGTTTACATTGTTTCTTACGGAATCACTCAATGGTATGTGTACGCGAGGACGCAATGACGGTTATACTGGTGACAGATGCATTATAATAAACGCAAAATATCAGCAAGGTTAATTTCAGTATGATTGTCAAAAAAGTATCTCATCGGTTATTTATATCCTTGCGTTCAATTCTAGTAACTTCTATTTAACACAATCAATGATAAATAAGTGTAGTAAAAGAAATGCTTGTTGCGTATCAAATGTCAGAGTTAATTGGTGTTACATATTTTAGAACCATAAGAAACATTATGTTTGCAGAACAAATTGTTACAATAACATCGGCAGCAACATCCACGGCAACAACAGCACAAAATCAAGCATCTGAAGTCAAAATATTTATCATAGGTTTTTTCTCTGGAATAGGATTTTCTCTTGTCATAGTGGCAATTGTTATACTGCTTTATTTCATGAGACGAAGGTAAAAATTAAATGTAAATTAAAAATGAAATATTGTTATCATCTTTACGTTTTAAAAAACATTCTTTCATTACTTTTTTAATTTGTCCTTTGAGACAATTTTGACAATTTTGAATTGTCTATCGCATATATTTTGAAGTGTATACAGCTATATTTTATGAAATTTTGTTCATAAAACTTATGTTCCAAAGTTTAATGATCGATTCTTTGAATAATTGTAAAAGAATGCCTCTTTTACTAAACACACATGAATGTTTTATGGAAACAGATTAAAATGTCCCAGAACAAAATATTATATAATAAGGTTTTACCCGTAATGATTTTGTGCACGTGCCATTTGTTCAAACATATTTCATTTATATATATGTTTTGAAGTATTCTTTTTTTAAATATTCAAATAATAATTTAATCAACTACTATGTCAGCATATCATTAAAATTATGTCTTAGCATGGGCATGTCTGAAGATTATAAGTCAGTTTTCTATTGGTGAATTGAGTTCTTCTCTTTAAAAGATACAGCTGCCTGGGAAATAAAGCGCCCCAAAATAACAACCGAAACGTCGAGATTCCAACATATATTGAAACTGCAAATAATTACGAAAGTTTAAGTCACAACAGGACGAAGGATACTGTTTACAGCGGTAAAATATTTAATTATTTAACTAATTTGATGAATTCATAAGTTTATAATTATGGTCTTACTTGTTGCGTCATAGTATACGAACGTTTGTAAAATCATTTCATTTTTTAAAGAAAAAATAATATTTGTTGTAAATATAACCAAAATACATGTATTTGTCTTAACATTCCAATTGAAATGAATAAGGAACAAACACATTATTTTGCGTGAGTGTGTGCGCGCGTGCACATAAGTGCGACTGTATGCGCGTGCCTGTGTGCGTGTTTGTGTGTTGGTCTATTTCAGTTTATGTTATTTTCATTTCTTTGCAGATCTAGAGACAACAGAATAGAAGCCCATTGAAAGTTTTTAAAAGCAGAGAAAGTACAGTATCCATGATAATTTAATTTAGTTTTTCTTTTTATTGAAAACTTTTTTAAGATATAAAAGTAAACAAGCGCTTGACATTGTTTTTGTTTTTCGTATATGACAAACACAATACTTGTAAGAGTTATCAAGCCGGTTTGCTCAATGTTTATAATGATGTGTTATGTGTTTAATCTAAATATTGAATAGTCTTGGTGAAAAAATTGAAATAAATGATATGAGAGTTGTTAAAAAAGTAATAGGACTGCAGATCTACTGTTCACATTTCATAATTTTTACGTAAACAATTTTACAACAGACAAATATCGGAACATGTCCTCTTTATACAGCGAAAGAAATCAATGCGACATGTTTTCAAATAACAATTCTGTAAAAAGATTCTGAAATAACCAGGGGTACGCGACGCGATGCACGCTAAAACAATAAATGACGTTCATTACGTCTTAAAATACAAAATATCACAAGTGCAATTCTTTCTGAAAGTGTTCTTCATAGTGCTCTAGGTGTCCGAATCGTATAATTATTACCAGGCCTCATACATGTATATGGAGATTAAGCGAGAAAGAAAGCGATCACATTCTTGTTCCACGAAAATAAAGCCCGATAGCCGGCCATTCTTCGCTTTTACTTGTATTTTTTTAGTAATCTGAGAACTCACAAGGCATGAAATTATAATGTTGGATGAAAAAGCGATTGGTATTATTAATTTACTATTACATCGTACGTTCTGAAAAAATATGATTATGTACAATTTATAAAAGAAAATTATCAACTGAAAAGTATCCTTTTCAACTAAGCACAGGCTATCATTTAATAAGATATCGGGGAAAATACTTATAATGATGGTTAATCATTATTAATCTATTGATAACACGTATATCTAGATAAACGCAATAAAATAATGTGTTTAAAACAAATGTCTCGTTTTCGATCTTTTTGTCAAAACTAAATAATTAGACCCGATGCAGATATCAAACATCCTGGACAGGTCGCCAGCTGTTTACTGTCGATCGTTTTTGGTGTTTTTCAATTGACGTCACTAACGTCCCGTCATTTTTCCGCTTTAACCCTCACTCTTCACTGTATATGACCCCTTATTCGTCGTGTTTGAATTGCTTGCACAGTCTGAAAACGAGATTCCTGGTCGCCGGTTTATTGTCCTGTGATATTTGAAATTGTTCGTTTGTAGGAGGAGAATCGCCAATATGTTGGCAAAATTTAATGCTCGCTCAAAATTCTCAATTTTAACAAACGTCATAGTATTACATTTAATGCTAGAACCAACTAGAAAATGCCGAAAAGTTAAAACTAAAAATACCACAAGCATAACAATAATGTCGTGCTGAACGATCTTTAAGGATCGGAAATATAACATCCCTGATTGAATGTACGGGGCGACTTTTTACAGCCTCCACACGGCACAAACAACGCTGATGTGGCGATAAAATAGAGAAAATAAGAATCCCTAAGGAAAGCCCAACACAAAACATTTCACACAAAAATCAGCTTAAATATCTAACGAAAAATGGCGACAGGAAATTTTGGTATTCCTGATTTTGAATATTTGGATTCAAATGGCAATAGTTCTGCAAAAGGAGAGACAGCTGTTACTGCTATAAGTGGCAGTATGGATGATAAAGTTCTGAAAGTGACACTATAGGGGTATACAGTTCAAGTGATGACATGGTCGATAGTACTGAATGATCTTATGATTCCTGTGAATTTGCTTTGGATGATAACATAGATACAAGTGATGTTGAACAACTTTTTGATATATCAGTTGACATTGATACAGACACTATTGGATTTGACACCGTCGTTTATAATGTCATGAATTAAGATAAAGAGATAAATGAATTTCAAGAAACTTTGAGTGTGCTCAATGACTATAACTCTTAATTTTACTGAAATGGACTCAAATACATCACACGGTACTATTAGCGGGAATGAGAGAGCAAATGAAGTGGGTCAAGTCCTAAGCAGGGACTATATGCCAAAACTTGAAGTTCTCACTGAGCGGTTTGGGACTTCCTTTACTTAAGGGCGTAAAGATAACGGATCTTCATGTTGCGAAAAGTCCAAAAACAATGTTAAAACATATAGAAAAAGAAGACTTCGAAGACAATCCAAACATTGAATCAATACGGTACATCTACATTTGTATCCCAACAGATACCCGCACTTTAAAAAAATAGTTAAATGAGTTTGCCATTCCATCTGCATTACAAATGAAAGTAATATAAAATCTTGTATTATTATGTTTCTTATGATAAGTTCAATGAAAACAAACGATTTTTAATGTTTCTTATACTATTTTACGAGAACATGTTGTGAATTTTATTTTGTAAATTTAGAAGCCTTTGTAAATAAACAACACCTGGTATCAATTTTCTTTGATCTTGAGAAGGCTTACGATACTACTTGGAAATATGGTATCCTAAAAGATCTAAAGGATGCTGGACTTAATGGCAGACTTCCTCTTTTCATTTCTGGATTTTTAAACGATAGGCACTTTAAAGTAAGACTTGGTTCAACTTTTTTTCTCAGGACCACCAACAAGAACAAGGTGTTCCTCAAGGAAGCATACTTTCTGTTACACTTTTTGGCCTTAAATAAACAATATTACTAGCGCTTTTACACCAGGCATAGACTGTTCTCTATATGTAGACGATTTTCTTATCTGCTATCGTTCGAAAAGTACGAGAACAATTGAAAGGCAACTTCAACAAAATTTAGATAAAATTCAAAAGTGGGCAATAGAAAATTGTTTTAAATTTTCAAAGTCAAAAACTCAATGTGTTCACTTTTGTCGATTGCGGAAACACCACAATGACCCTGAACTTTACATATCTGGTTCTAAAATTCCAGTAGTTGATGAAGCTAAGTTTTTAGGAATTATATTTGATAAAAAACTTTCTTTTATACCACATATTAAACATTTGAAAACTAAATGCCTTAAAGCTTTAAATTTACTTAAGGTTTATCAAGTACAAATTGGGGATCAAATTCTTCCACATTACTGAAATTATACAGAAGTCTTATCCGCTCAAAATAAGATTATGGTTCTGTAGTATATGGGTCTGCAAGAAAATCATATCTTCAAATGCTAGATACCATACATCACCAGGGTTTACGTTTAGCTTTAGGTGCTTTTCGCACTTCACCTGTAGAAAGTCTATATGCGGAAGCTGGGGAACCATCGCTTCATCTTCGTCGAAAAAAGCTATCACTTCAATATGCAACTAGAATTTCATCTAATATTAAAAATCCAGCTAAAAATATTATTTTCAAACCAAGTTATACTGAAAAATTTGTTAACAAACCAAAGGAAATTAAAATATTAGGCCTTCGTTTAAAAGATGATTTAGATAACATTAAAATTAATCCAGACAGTATCCTTCAAAAT